ATGTTCAAAAGGCTCATTCACAAATCAGCTTTGCTTTGGACCCAGAAATAGACTTGCTAAACCTTCTTCAGCAGGTATGTTTATGTAATCAGTGGATGAGTCATTTGACTAATTGATTCAGCTTCACCTGCTCTCTTCTGTCTCATTAAACTTTTGCCTCAAAAGTAACTGGATTTCCTGCAGGGGGCCAGTTTCCTGAAATCAAAGGAAACGGTTTGTGCATCATTACAGAAACACAATGTCCTGAAAGTGACCGTCTGGCCAGCTGAAGACACATCTCTATTTCATGATTAAATTAGGGATGCTGAGTCGGTTAACCCTTCACTGTGGTACTCTCATTGTGAATGTCTACTGATAAATGTCGACAAGCTTAGATAATGTTGTTAGTGCGAACAAGATATTAACGCTTAACATAAACCTCTGGATTAAAAAATGTCTAAATAAGCATGATAAAATAAAAAGGGTACAAATGTGGCTCATTCATTCAACTTTTATTTATACAGGTTAGTCTCAATGAGTCACGAGGACTCATTTACAAGAGAGATCTGTTTTAGACAGACAACATATAAATTACAGACAACAATAATTCAACTAAAAATAAATAAAATCAAATAAAAGGAGTTATGAACACAGTCAAATCAAGATGCCATTGTCATGTTCTTTGCAGGTGAACAGACAGTGGCCGGGTGTTTTGACGTGTGCTCTCTTTGTGTATATTTCTTATATTTTGGAGTCTTACTTTGTCTTTTCTTTCTTTCTATCCTATTAAAAAAATAATAATAATAAATAAATAAATAAATAAAAACCTACACTAGATAGTCACTATAATAAATATTTCATAATAATGGTGTGGAGAGGATGGCTGTAAGGGGAGAAGGGAGGCCATCTAAAAAAATAAAAAATAGACAGCGTAAAATCAAGATGCCATAAAAAAGTTAAAATACTAAAAACAATAACATATTTACTGTGATATTTCTATTGACATTTTCAAATGTTCATAATGTTTTAACTTAAAAATATTACAAAAGAGAACAAATCTAGCAGGGCTTCTATTTGAAACATTTAAAACTATTTTTGTGTTAATAACATGACACAAATAGATAAGAATACATTTACATTAATCTGCTGGGTTATTTTAAAGCGCCTCACAGAGTACTGGTATATGTAAAATGTGAAGTAACTATATATATATATATATA